CCTCGGAATGGAAATCTGATGATTCCGTTAGCTCCGTTGGGTAATTTTGGGCTTAGGGGCGTGTTCGGATTATGTTTTGGAGGTCCGTAGCTAATTTAGGCTTGAAATACCGAAAGTTGAATTTTTGAAGTTTCCGGTTCGATAGTGAAATTTTGATCTGAGGGTCGGAATGAAATTCCGGAAGTTGGAATAGCTACATAGTGTTTAATGTGACGTGTGTGCAAAATTTCAGGTCATTCGGATGAGGTTTGATAGACTTTTTGATCGAAAGCGTATTTTTAGAGTTTTTGGAATTCTTAGGCTTGAATCCGATGAAACATAGGTGTTTTGATGTTGTTTTGAGCGTTCTGAAGGTTGGAACAAGTTTGAATGATGTTTTAGGATCGGTTGGCAGGTTTGGTTGAGGTCCCGGGGGCCTCGGGTGTGTTTCGAATGCTCAACGGGTTATTTTTGGACTTAGAGGATTGCAGAAAATGCAGCAGGTCTCCAGTTCTGGTTCCCTTCTTCGCGTTCGCGAGTGGGATCTCACGTTCGCGAAGAGGAGCTGGGGCTGGTGGAAGCTTAACGCTTTGCGTTCACGAAGAGGCTCCCGCATTCGCGTAGTAGGGGGAAGTTTGCTACTGCGTTTGCGACAGGGGGCATCGCGTTCGCGATGAAGGACATCTTGGCCAAGCGAAGTTGTGCTTCGCGAATGCGAGGGCAAACTTCCCCCTCCTACGCGAACGTGGGACCCTCTTCACGAACGCGTAGGCATACAACCTCTCAGCTTCACGAACGTGAAGCGTTAAGCTTCCACCAGCCCCAGTTCCTCTTCGTGAACGCGAGACCCCACTCGCGAATGCGAAGAAGGAAACCAGAACTGAAGACCTGCTGCATTTTCTGCAATCCTCTAAGTCCAAAAATGACTCGTTGAGCATCCGAAACACACCCGAGGCCCCCGGGACGTCAACCAAACCTGCCAACCAATCCTAAAAAATCATTCAAACTTGTTCCAACCTTCAGAACACTCAAAACAACATCAAAACACCTATTTTTTATCGGATTCTGGTCTAAGAATTCCAAAAACTCTAAAAATACGCTTTCGATCAAAAAGTCTATCAAACCTCATCTGAATGACCTGAAATTTTTCACACAGGTCACATTAAACACTATGGAGCTACTCCAACTTCCGGAATTCCATTCCGACCCTCGGATCAAAATTTCGCTATCGAACCGAAAACTTCAAAAATTCAACTTTCGGCATTTCAAGCCTAAATTAGCTACGGACCTCCAAAACACAATCCGAACATGACTCTAAGCACAAAATTACCCAACGGAGCTAACGAAACCATCGGATTTCCATTCCAAGGCCGTCTTCACACTGTTCCAACTACAGCCAACTTTCCAACACTTAAGCTCTCATTTAGGGACTAAGTGTCCCAAAACTCTCCAAAACTCAAAACCGAACATCCCAGAAAATCAAAATAGCAAAAATAAACTTGGAGAAAGCAGTTAATGGGGGATCGGGGCATAAATTCTTAAGACGACCAGCCGGGTCGTCACAAAGAGTCAACATGGACTGAGTCGAGGTCGAGTGCTTTTAATAAAGTTATAACAGTTAGATTCGAGATTGGACATTAAAGAAAATATTCTAGTGGATATTCTCTGCACATGTACTGTTAGGGTGTTTAGGAATATGTTCCCCGTAAATAGAAAGAGACACAATTATAGGGGGTATGAAATATTTATTTGTTAAAAGACAGTTTGACTTGAGAAAGAGGATCGGATCTCATTGCAAGTATACAAATATCACATTTTCACCCTGTCTACACTTTTTCACTAGGTCCGAGAAAACTCAGATATTTAAAGGATTGTCCATCACTCATCATTGTCAGAAAGAACATTGGTTAATTTCACCCTTTCTTGTGTGACTCATTCATTCTATTTACTTAAATTTCATTTATTGCTATTCATTGATATTGAATATTACATTATTGCTTTTGATTTCTGGAATCTCGATTGTATGTTGCCGCTGTTATCAAAATATACTCACGTAAAATTTATTGCACTTTTGAAAACTATATCTTTGGGATATTATTGTTAGCTAGGATTAATCCTCATTTACATAAATTTAATTGGTTGAACCAATATTTATATTTTTTGGTCAAATAATTTGGCGCCGTTTGTGGGAATTTCTTAGTTAAATTTTCAGTTTCCCATATCTACAATAAACGCAAGCCATTAACGTCGAAAACCCTGATCTCCTTCCTTTGTGCATATAAATCCCTACATAACCAAAGGAGAGAGGAAAAAATAATAAGTATCTTCCCAATCAACCTCATGAATGTTATCAACAAAAGCTGTGAAACAGTAGGTGAAGACACGACGCCCAACGCGTCCCGCAGGTGAGAGAGGCCGCCTCCCCCACACTGCAGCATAACAAAATCCAGCGGAAAGGGGGCCTCCACATCTGCAGAAGAAGGGACGCCCCCAGCTATGAAAAACTCCTCGAAGCATAGCTGACCGACATGCTAGCAAGCATCCTCAACAAACCTGCTCCACACATGACTGTAGGAACCGTAGGAGCTTGCAGGACATAACATACGAGAAGCACAACCAACTGAACCCTCAAACGACATGTATAACTCACAATATCACTAGCAGTGCAGGTGATAGAACCCTCGCTGCTATTCTAAATAGGATGGAAGAAATGGAGAATGAAAACAGGGCGCTCCGAGACCAGATGAAAGAACATCAAGAACGAGTTGATAAGATGCCGGACGCACCTAAGCTGCTACCAAAAAGGGACGCCGGTAGGTTCGTAGAGAAGCCGTATAGAGATGATGCAGCCCTGCATGCCATACCAAAGACCTTCAAAATGTCGCCCTACCTCAGGATATACGACGGAACGATGATCTTGAGGATCATGTGACTCACTACGTCACTGCAGTGAAAGGCAACAACCTCGCCAAGGAACAAGTGTCCTCCATTTTGCTAAAGAAGTTTGGCAAAACCCTCATGAGAAGGGCATTAACATGGTATTCACAATTGTCGGCCCACTCCATAGAAACTTTTGAGGAAATGATCGATAAGTTAGTAATCATCCATGCCAGAGCCAATAAGGCCAAAGCAAGAGTAAATGACATATTTGCTATTAAAAAGTCCTTGGGAGAGGGATTAAGGGATTTCCTTACCCGGTTCAATAGGGTAAGGATGCTTCTACCGAACGTATCCGAAGGAATGGCGATCACAACTTTTCAGAACGGGCTGAATAGAGATGGTTCTAGAGCAACTAGAAAATTGTTAAGCCGATTGATGAAGTATCCTCCAACTACTTGGGATGAAATCCATAATGCTTATAGTGACGAGGTCCGAGCAGACGAGGACGACCTCAACAGACCAACTAACCGCCTAACCTCGGTATAGACCGAATCCAAAAAAGAATAAAGAGACAACACCAGAAGAGATCACCCGGTTCCGTGAACCAACAAGAGCAGAATCAACCATACATTATAACGGTTACCGTGCCCTTCCCACGCTATAAAGAAGGTCCATCCCGTCCAAGGACGGGAACTCACCGGAACAAAAGAGGTATGCCCCCTTAGTATCTGCTCACAATTTTTGTATGTCACCTACAAAAATAGTCTACGCTCTTAAGAAACTCAGAACAAAGGTGAAGTGGCTGCCGAAGATGAGATTGGATTCGTACACCAGAAAATCTGATGCCCTTTGTGAGTTCCACCAGGGATGTAGGCACAAAATAGAAGACTACATTGCCCTCAGGCAATAAGTCGTAAACACGTTGTGGCAAGGGCACCTCAAAGAGTTGTTAAGCGATAAAGGGAGAACCAATTTTGCCAGAGGACGTGAACATCAAGGCCTGCCAAAGCTGACATCGCCAGCTCGTACTATCAACATGATCATCAGCGGCAGTGATGACGCCTCTATCAATAGTGTGAAGTTCACTACCACTCATAAGCTCAAGCGGTTTATCACCCGTGGACAGTACGACGGACTTGAAGAAAGTATCATATTCGACGAGTCGGATGCTGACGGTTTGACTTTTCCTTATAATGATGCCTTCGTTATTACTCTACGAATTTTAGATACCGATGTAAAACGTATAATAGTGGATGATGGAAGTGGTGCATGCATTATCCATCCCCGAGTCCTTACCCAAATGAGACTTGAGGATAAGATAGTATTGCGCTGCATCACACTAACTAATTTTAATAATGCAGTTGAGCGGACATCCAAGGAAATTACACTCCCCATCTTGGCCGGTGGCGTGACTCTGGCGACAATATTCCACATCATGGACTAGGCCATTGCGTACAATGCCATAGTAAGACGACTATGGATACATCTCATCAGCCATCCCTTCCAACCTGTATCAAGTAATTAAATTCCCAACACCATGGGGAATATTCAGCATATGTGGGGAACAATGCATAGTCCAAGAATGCTACCACATCGCCTTGGATAGCACGACCACCCAACAAAAAAAAGACAAAGAAAATGAAGCATAGCAATCAACAGGGTCGAGGTCGACGTGAAAGGAGATCGGGTACGTCATCAAGGATCCTGATGTAGTCGTGGCTATAAATTCGATCATACAAAACCTTGACCCGATTCAATTGGACCTCAACGACCATAGCAAGAAGGCATATATCGACTGCAAACTCAGGGCACCAGATAAATTCAGTCAATTCTTAATAGCTAATCCATATTTGTTTGCTTCCAGCCATGCAGATATGTCGGCATCCCAAAGGAAATCACCACACACAAATTAAATGTCGATCCATTCCACCCCCCAGTAAGACAACTCTGGCGTAAATTCAACTCCGCCATCAACGGCGCGGTCTACGAGAAGGTAAAAAAATATTATAGAATGGCTCCATCAAGGATTCGAAGTACCCCTAGTGGATCACCAACATAGTAATGGTCAAAAAGAATAATAGTAAATGGTGAATGTGGGTGGATTTCACATACTTGACAACAAACTTGCGAACTTCTCCGTTATCTTCTTTCACCACAAAATATTCCCAAATATCGGAGCATTGAGCAGTAGCACGGGGCATGATTGCACTTGAACTTGAACCTAAAAAAAATATAAATCATATGTTAGAATATTATAGTTTGATGATAATAAAACAAAACTACAAACTATTAAGTATATCATTATCACCAAACAAATAGAGTATTAAACTTACCCCTCAAGATGCAAGTTGCAACTATACATCAAACAATGCTAGTAGTGCTTCCATTATTTTCCATATCTAAAGATAATACGACCAAATATGTCATACAAATGAAAAGGCATGATATATTATTTTGAATTAAAATACAAACAAAATATTAAAGCTTACCAAGCTCGAGTTCCTCAAGATACTTCAAGTCTTCTTCAACACTAATAGGATTCTTCTCTTCTCTAATCCAATCTTGAACACAAATAAGAGATTGCACACATTTAGTAGTCAATGAACTCCTAAATGAATCAAGAATACGGCCANAACCACAAATTTATCAAAATGGTTCCAAACGTCAGACCTAGGTTGCATTGCTTTCCTTTTCTTGGAATCTTCACTATCAATGGTGTTGGTGTTACTATCTAGCGTAATAGGTAAATTTTCAGTAGAACCAACATCACTTACTTTACTTGTATCTTCCATCTATACAAAATTAAACAAATANTCAGTGCTAAATGCGCATTCCGACGCCACACTAGAAATTGGAATTGCCAACACATCACGAGCCAACTCCAAAAGAATAGGAAATCTAGGAGCATGTGTTTTCCACCAACTCAAGATATCAAATTCTTCACTAAAAGGCTCTTGTTCTTCACTAATGTATTTATCCAACTCCGATTTAGCACCCCCACTTCCATTGTCTTCCTTTTGTTTCTTTAAGCTAAGCTTAGTCCTAATTTTTGATGCACTTATAACACTCCCACTAGGTGTATTAGATGTGTTGNATGTTGTTAGATGAAGTAGAATTAGATGGAGATTGATGACAAGATTCGGTTGAATACTTTTTTAGATACTCCCCAAACAAAGAATTCATATAAGCATACACCTCAACATTTATTTTCTTCCCTTTTTCCTCCCCAAAAAGTTCTTCAAGTGCTCCCTCAACATATTCAAATTTGTTACGTGGATCCAAGACGGAAGCAATAAAAATCATTTTATTCATCTTTTCAGGCTCACCCCAATACTTCTTGAACTTTTCTTGCATT